GCTTCCATTAATCCGCTCTAAAGACCATGTTTTTTGTCCTCTCTAGCTACAGCTTCTAGAGGACAAGTTCAACCTTGTCTCTTAATTTATGACATGACAATGACAGCTCCATCGGACCTCGGATGATGTGGCTTTGGGGGTTTGCTGCTGGTGCTAAACACTGAGCACGTCTTGCTGCTTTATCAGTTTCATTCTCATTATATATGCCAAAACTACAGCAAAAAGCTTGCTGACAGTATCACTGTTAGAATAATTGTGGCACATCAGTTCAAACAAGGAATTGATATGCCACATGAACTGAACAATTAAAAGGATAGTACACACAAATGTAAAAATGTAAATTTATATTATTTAGGATTGTTTGTTATGTTTATAGTGACTTCCCAAGTAAAGTATAAAGTATAATTATCCATAATTTTAAGTGCTTTTTAACAGTATTAATTTAAGTAAATTAAGTAGCGTTACTGTAACTTAAACAGTAGTACATGCTGCTAGCAATGCCAAGGTTTGAGTTCCAGGGAATTGCATGAACTGATTTTTTTTTTTATGTTTTGCCACTTGCATAAATGTAAATAAAATAAAATCTAAAAACTTTGCAATACAGGTGTTCCTAACATGCAATAGGGCATAAATAATTAAGTAGCATTTTTCACAGTTGTGTAATTTGCACTGATGCTTTGGTTGATGTTGTTGTCAAGTTTGGTAACTTGTTTTATGACACCTGGATTTCATTTTCTACTCATTTGTGTGCAAAAATTTGCCATTAATGTTTTGTGTGCTCTGTTTTTAGGTCTGTGTGTCTTTTGTGTCCTGAACATACATTATAAAGTCATAGTGTCTCCCAGGCTAGACAACATACATTCAGCTCTCCACATCTTTAATTGGCATGATAATATGCATCTTAAAGTCAGACATTTTGCATATATTTTTCATTTAAATATTACTAGGTTATTTTAAATACCATTTCATCAGATTTGGAAGTAAAAGCGTTCGAGCTCCAAAGTTTCTAATTCAAAATCTCCTAAATTACTGAAAATCTCCAGTGAAGTACCTTAAAAGTTGTCCATATAAAGCTGTTATAAATCTTATGAAGTCATACGGTGTGAGAAAAAGACCAAAATTGAAGTCACAGAAAATGTTTGCTTTTTATCACTGTTTTCAAATGTTATGATCAGCCGCATCATTTAAACCACCAGCCTAATACTGTGTAGGTCCCTCTTGTGCTGCCATAACAACTCTGATGCATCGAGGCATGGACTCCACAAGACCTCTGAACGTTGTTCTGTGATCTGTGGCACCAAGACATTAGCAGCAGATCCTTTAAGTCCTGCAAGTTGTGAGGTGGTCCTCCATGGATCAGATTTGTTGGTCCAGCACAACCTGTAGATGCTCAGTTGAACAGAGATCTGGGGAATTTGAAGGCCAAGGCAACACCTTGAACTCTTTGTCATGTTCCTCAAACTATTCCTGAACAATTTTTGCAGAGTGGTTTCCCAGCAGAACCTTGACCAGAGAGCATAGCACTGCCTCCACCAGCCTGCCTTCTTCTCATAGTGCATCCTGCTGCCATCTCTTCCCCAGGCAAACAATGCATACGCACCAGCCATCCACCTGATCTAAAAGAAAACATGATTCATCAGACCTGGCAACCTTCTTCCATTGCTCCATGGTCACATGCCCATTGTAATCCCCATACATAGCAAAAGGTGATGCACTGTGTGTTCTGACACCTTTCTGTCATGGCCAGCATTGAGTTTTTCAGCAATTTGAGCTACAGTAGCTCTTCTGTTTGATCAGAGCAGACGGACAAGCCTTTGCTCCCCACATGCATTAGTGAGCCTTGGGTGCTCATGGTCCTGATGCTGGTTCATCCTTCCTTGCTCCACTTTTGTTTGCTACTAACCACTGCATACCAGGGCTGGACTGGGGCTAAAATTTGGCCCTGAACAAATCCAGCCCATGAGTTCACCCGTGAATGTTTTTGCTGGAGTTAGAGCCTTAAAATGGACTAAATATATTAATAAATAAAAACGGACAGAAACAAACACTGATGAGTCTTGTTGAATGTACTGCAAATACACTTAATACTGCATTTATGTCACATAGAAATGCACTTGACAGTAAAGCACCGATTTTGAGCTAGGATACCATAAAGTAAATTTACTGCTATTAAATTGTCATCATTTACACACACTCAGGTTGTCCAAACCTGTATGACTTTCTCTCTTCTGTGATTTTGAACAATTTTGGTAACCAACCATTTTGGTTACCATTGACTTCTATTATATATTCCACAGACAGAGTCATACAGGTTTGGATTGACAGTAACACTGGCAATGGTTCATAAAGTAAATAATAATAAACTATAGAATTTGTGTAAACATGCAGAAGTTATGAAAACAACCTTTATGAAAGTGATTTATATTCCCCAATATTTAATATACTGTAAGTAATAACAGCAACATTTTATGTATAACACAAAACTGCATAAAAAAATTCTGAGTCAAATCTGAATGGATCAAGCGACTTTGCAGTTTATCACCTGTTAGAGCTGCAGAAGTGCATGCAGAGCACATTCAGTCTGCTTTTGCACACGGCTGGAGGATGCACGGTTTAATTGTGTAGCACCGTTTCATCACACATTTGGAGTATTAGCCTTTTGCAGTTACCGATGTGCTGCATTTTAAAAACAGCGCCTTATTTAGGGGAGGGGGAGATCTTCCTTCGCCAATCAGCCAACTACTCGGCTGGCCCACCGGGAAAGTCCCAGTGCTCCCTACAGCCAGTACATGCCTGCAGCATACCAGAAACACCCCACAAGACTTGCTGTTTTGAGATACTCTGACCCAGTCGTCTAGCCTTCACTAGTTTGGCCCTCATCAGAGCCATCTTTCCTGCTTCCAACACATGAAATTCAAGAAATGGCTGTTCACTTGCTGCCTAATATATCCCACCCCTTGACAGCTGCCATAGTAAAAATCAATGTTATTCTCTTCACCTGTGAGTGGTTTTAATGTTGCGGCTGATCAGTGTATAGTTCAAAATATTAAAAATGATTATAGAATGATAGCATGATTGTGTTCCATGAAAAAAAAAGAAAGTCCTACAAGTATGGAATGATGGCAGAATTATTATTTCTGGGTGAACTATCGCATTTCAATGACTAAATGACGTTTTTTCCATTAAATGCTCAATTTTATACTCTGCTTTGTTTTATACAGAACTAACCAAAACAAAACAACCCTAATGTATCTGTGAATGTCAACCCTACTCTACAAAGAGTGCTTTGAGCGCCTTTATTGTTTGACACTGAGGCATTCATTGAACTCCAAGTGTTTTGTGTGTGTGTGTGTGTGTGTGTGTGTGTGTGTGTGTGTCATAGTTTTTCCAGAGTTTTGAAGCTCTTCAGAGCAGGTGTGTTGTAATCGTGATGTGTGTTAAGGATTTGAAAGCACCATGCTGCTGGTATCACTGCTGCTTCAACATTGCAGCTTCAGAGCACTTCAGATATGTCAAGGGTCTTTTTTTCTGTCTCTTACTCTTCCTCAGTCTGTCTATTTTCACCTTTTTTGTTATACCACAAGACAAGAGCCCTCAAAACGCTGCAATATGCCCCACAAAATATCATTCATGGAACATCACTAAACATTTGAAGGTTACTCCGAAATTCAGGCTTTTATGTCCCTGAATAATTTCCATTTTCCCTCAGCGAGAGGGTTAGAGTGGCATTTGTGAAAAATTAGGCATTAGACAGAGGATGAGATCTTTTAGCACAGGCAACAATGCATAATAACAAGCACCTCTTTTACCACACACTGACCTGAATCTTCATGTCTGTGGAGGTTAAATAGTTCAATAGACCTTTCAGTTATGTTAAGTAGGTGTCTCTGTGATATTCAGTGCCAGACTTCTGCTGTTTGAGATAGCACATAAACCTTTTCACCATTAGTTAGTTGGAACTAACTCAGACACTGAACTCCATAGCAAATTGTGTCTTTATGAAAGCAGTCAAAGTACTGTATTTTCTGTATAGAAACTGTATTGTGTTTTCCATTGAATGCAATTGCTGAAAATGCAATTCATTCATACAATGACTTGAAAACACTGCATCTATGATGAGCATGCTTTTATTTTCTGAATTAAAACTCGTTTTGCTGAACATGTAGTAGAAAAATGATACTGTCCAGATATTATAATGAAGAAAAAAGCCAAGAAAGTCATTTCTTTATTATTATATCTTAGAGAAAAAAATGCTATGGTGCTTATCAATATTTGAACATTTTTTTTCCACCAAATCAAAGTCATGTGGCTTCAGATGGTGTAACCAACATGCAGAGAAAAAAACACAAAACAGAAAATGATGGCTGGAGAACTTAAAGATGTGTGTCAAAGAGTGTCTTAAAACTCAGGATAAATATATACTCACATGTATTCAAGATATAAAGGAATATGTTATTACGTTTTTACATAATGTTTACACCACATAACATTTTTAGAGTCATTAAACCTTTCTTGAAAATGTTTTTCAAAAAGGAAATTTCAGGTTTTCAAAACCATATAACACCAACACAAATATATAGAGTACTTTTTTAAAGAACTAAACTAGAGTTTAGCTCTTTTTTTCCCATTAGTCATGGACACTTTTATTTGTCATTGACTTTCAGTCAGCATGTGATGTTACTTTCCAATCTGTGAGGATTCATGTTTTATGAATGCAGTCCCATTAGGGCATATTGAACTTAAAACCTGTCTCAGCTGTGCTGGTGCATTTAGCATTTATACATGTATGGGATTGAAAATGAGATTCTCTCATTTTCCGGAATTTCTTGTAAATTCTGGAATCGGAACATGAGCAGTCTTGACAATGACAAATGTTTCCTGGTACATTTGGGAATCAGTTTAATCAGTTTAAGGAAAAATATTGTGGTTCCCCCCTAAGCGCTGTTCTCTGTAAGCTATGTGCACCTGAGAAATCTCATTCCTGTGTCTGTCTGCTGCAGATTCTGCTGGGGGAGCTCGCATCCTTCTTCACTAAACCTGAGGCCATGCAGGAGAAGACAATTGTTACGGCTGACTGCTGCTATTTCAACCCGCTGCTGAGACGCATTGTCCGCTTCCTTGGTAAGCAATGCTTCAAGGTTGTTGTTTTTTTGAATACTTATTCAAACTGTTAATCTTCCAAACACATAGCATTAAACTTTTCCTGCTGCATTCAAATTTTTAAGTGTGTTTGTTTGCATGCACATGCATTTATTTAAAACAACTGTTTTCTATTTTAAATGAATAGTTCACCCAAAAATTGCTGAACATTTACTCACCCTCAGGCCATCCAAGATGTAGATGAGTGTGTTCCTTCATAGGAACAGATTTGGAGAAATGTAGCATTTCATCACTTGCTCACCAATGGATCCTCTGCAGTGAATGGGCGCCGTCAGAATGAGAGTCCAAACAGCTGATAAAAACATCACAATAATCCACATGACTCGAGTCTATCATTTAATGTTTTGTGAAGCAAAAAGCTGCATGTTCATAAGAAACAAATCCATCATTAAGGGAGTTAACTTTAAACTGTCACTTCTGGCCAAAATATGCTTCCTCCAGTGAAAAAGTCCATCCTCTGTTGTCCTCTCACATCAAAATCCATTGACATATTTGTTTAGAAATGTTTTAAACAGTGCTTGATTTGTGCATATTTCTGTCTAGATTCATATGAGATGGTTTTTTAACTGGAGAAAGCAATATTATAGATAAAGGACTTGTATTTCAGCTCGAAGAAATGGTTTGAAATTAAAAACATTTTAAGATGCATTTATTTCTTACAAATTATTACAGATTATTGCTTCACAAGAGATTAACTGATAGCTGGGAGTCTGACGGATTGTGTTGTTTTTATCAGCTTCTTGGACTCTCATTCTGACGGCACCCATTCACTGCAGAGGATCTATTGGTGAGCAAGCGATGTAATGCTAAATTTCTCCAAATCTGTTCTGATGAAGAAACAAATTCATCTACATTTTGAATGGCCTGAGGGTGAGTAAATGTTGAAAACGTGTGCTGCTTAATATTTTAGTGAAAACCTTGATCATTTTTCTAGGATTCTTTGCTGAATACAGAGTTTGAAAGAAAAGCATTTCTTTGAAACAGAAATCTAATTAGAAATCTAGAATTTAATGACTTTTTTGATCACTTTAATGCATCCTTTCAAATAAAAACTGAACTGTCCCTTAAACTTTAGAATGGTAGACTGTATATCAAACTGCTTTAAATGTCCAAATGTATGTGAAAATCCTCTCATAATTATCAAGTGGTTGATGAAATTATTTCTTTCTCTTGTTCTCAGGTGTGTATTCCTTTGGCCTCTTTACCACCACCATCTTTGCCAATGCAGGGCAGGTAGTGACAGGAAACCAGACACCTCATTTCTTGTCTACCTGCCGTCCAAACTACACAGCACTAGGCTGCCATTCACCGCTGCAGTACATCACAGAGCGGCGAGCGTGCACCGGAAACCCTTACCTCATCACCTCCGCCCGCAAATCTTTCCCCTCCAAGGACGCAGCGCTGAGTATGTACTCAGCTGTCTATACAGTGGTGAGTGCATCCAGGACAAGAAATCAAACATGACACAGCATGCAAAGAAATCACAGTCATCCTTTCTTTTAATAGTGCTGATGTTTTAACTGACTCAAGAGATGACAGAGCTCCTGTGCAACGATGATTCACAATATTTGGTCATGACCCTGCTGGAAATATCAGCATATCTTACTGCTGGATCTTACATAACTGGATTCTGATCCCGAGTTTAGCATTTAATTAACCAAAATACAATACAATTTTTAATATATTTTTTCAATATGTAATATATTAATTTTTATTACAATCTAATGTTTAAAATAGCTTTCTTTTTTTCTTCTTTTTTTTTTTACATCTTTTTGAAAATTACATTTTTTGCTGTCATGGCAAAGCCCAAATTGCAATACTATTTCTTTATACTTTATGTTTTTGAAAGAAATTCATAATTCTATTCACAAGTGTAACATTTATTGAATAAAAATACAATAAAAAATACAGTTTAAAAATAATGGTTTTTGATGTTGTTTATTTTTAGATATTTTTAAAATTACATTTTAAAAGTTTACAATATCATTTCTTAATTTGTATGTTTCTGAAAAAAACATTATAATTACAAAATACCAAAATACAATAAAATGTAATATAGTAAATAAGATATAATTTCTTAAGACAAGAAATTCATAATTCAGCTCCTCATTTTAGCATTTAATTAATATACAGTGAAGCAAGGTAATATTGTAAATGATTGTTAATGTTTGAAATTATGTATTTATTTCATTACTTTTTGGCTGTGTTTGGAAAAGCACACTCGACAATGTAATGGCAAAGCCATTACTCCAGTGTACTAAGAAGTTTGTGTTATATAATCCTTAAGAAATTATCATAATGTGTTGATTTAGTACTCAACATCCTTCTCCTATTATTAGCACACTTGAAATGATTGTGCTGTTTAATGAAGTATGCAGATGGCAGTGCAGTGTCTTTCGCACTTGCTGTATAGCGTGTTTAGGTACCATGCAATTACACATTTTCTACCGCGAGGGCCCCTGGGGACACCTTGCTTAGGGTCCGTAAAACTCTAAACACGCCCCTGCACTTGTGAGTCTTTGTAAACTTTCCAGTTTCAAGTCAAATTTTGATTTCAAAAATGTCCTCTAGAAGCCTATTAGTCCCATTAGTGTTGCTCTTTTGAGGGATGAAGTCTATTTCATAAACCACTGGATCTAACCATCAGAGAGAGAAGTGGATGCCCAGACAACAAGACGAGAAGAACATTGTCTGTAGTTTGAGAAACAGCTAGAAGCTCCATTAAGCAGCACACAATAAACTCCGGCTTCATCTGCAACATTGAAGAGAAGAGATGCTGCTGGCCTTCTGGCAGTGTTTTGAAGTAACAACACATGGGGCCCCTGGGGACACCTTGCTTAGGGTCCATAAAACTCTAAACACGCCCCTGCACTTGTGAGTCTTTGTAAACTTTCCAGTTTCAAGTCAAATTTTCATTTCAAAAATGTCCTCTAGAAGCCTATTAGTCCCATTAGTGTTGCTCTTTTGAGGGATGAAGTCTATTTCATAAACCACTGGATCTAACCATCAGAGAGAGAAGTGGATGCCCAGACAACAAGACGAGAAGAACATTGTCTGTAGTTTGAGAAACAGCTAGAAGCTCCATTAAGCAGCACACAATAAACTCCGGCTTCATCTGCAACATTGAAGAGAAGAGATGCTGCTGGCCTTCTGGCAGTGTTTTGAAGTAACAACACATGGCAAATAAAAATAAAAGGGTAGAATGGGCATGATACATGGAAAAATCTACAGCTCATTTGGAATGTTTGAGGTGTTGTATTGCTGAGCAAATAGTCATGATAGATGTGCATTAATGCATATTGTACCAATGTGTATTTTGTGTTTTCTGCAGATGTATATAACTCTGGTATGGAGGACTAAAGGCACAAGGCTGACCAAACCCACTCTCTGTCTGACTGTCCTCTCACTGGCTGTTCTGGTGGGCATCGTGCGTGTAGCTGAGAACCGCAACCACTGGTCTGATGCTCTAGCTGGATATCTCACCGGAGGAGCTATCGCCGCTTTTCTGGTGAGAATCTGTCAACTTTGGAGACCAAAATACGCCATAGCCAGGCGGTTCAATGCATACCCATTCAAGAACATACACTACCATTCAAAAGTTTGAAGGAATAAGCAATATTGTCTAGAAAGGAGGTTTCCATCAAAAGTGACGGTAAAGACATTTATTGTGTTAAAAAAGATTTCTATTTCAAAAATGCTGATCTTTTGAACTTTCTATTCAGCAGTAAATAATAAAATGAATGAAATGTTTTATGGTTTCCACAAAAATATTTAGCAGCATATAATAATCAGAAATGTTTCTTGAGCAGCAAATAAGAATATTTTAATTATTTATGAAGGATCATGTGACAAAGAAGACTGGAGTAATGATGCTGAAAATTCAGCTTTGCCATCACAGGAATAAATCGCATTTTAAAATATATGAAAATATAAAACAAAATTTTAAACTGTAATAATATTTGACAATATTACTATTTTTAATGTATATGTATCTAGGAAATGCAGCCTTGGTGAGCTTAAGAGACTTTCAGAAACATAAAAAATCTTACTGATCCCAGACTTTCGAAAAATAGAGTATTGCATATACTACAAGATCACAGAAAAGCTGAAATCTGCATCATAAAATTGCATCTTGAAGCCTTTGTTCACGCCATGTCAGAGGGTAAAACAGGTCATTACTCTGAGCACATACCTGTTTAACAGCTAATACTAGTACTCAGATGTTTAGTGAGTCTGTAGCTAATCCACTGGCTTTAGATTCCATCCTTCATCCTCTTAAATCAAGTCCAATCATAACCATGCCAAGGCTGAACATGTTTTGGGCATAAAGCCTTAATCCACAAGAGGCAGATCCTGCATTGTCGTACTGTAAATGCCTTAGTCGCACATTTTTATTGTCATTATTAACCCTTGCTCTTGGTTCACCTCCAGGTCACATGTGTGATCAATAACTTCCAGCAGACCCAGCCTCAGCTGCCACCCTTACCGCCCCCTGTGCACCCTCCACGCCAGGAGCCCTCGCTCAACATGCCCATGGTGGCCATGCCCTGCGTAGAGAGTCCACTCGAAAAGTTAAGTGGCCCTCAGGTAAGGGGTGATGGGTGGGTGCATTGGACACCAGGAAGGCGTGGGAAATCTAAACAAGAGCTTACAGCTAACTGTACTGTATAATAATGTACCTATTCTTCAGCTGAATGAGGTCTGCTGCCCACATACTTGTGGTTTTAAAATAGCCGTGAATAATGGGATCATATATCCAGAATGTGGTAATACTGATATTATTGGCTCTGAAGAGGAGTTTGGAGCATTGTTTTTTTCTCATTAGCTCAGTTTCCTAAGCCTAGTAGTTAGTTGCCCTAGACAGCATTTTTAAGGCATCATAGGTATGCTTCAGATGTGAAGGCTGCTCCAAAAAATATCATAGTCTCCTTGTATTAACCAGATTCTAAGCAAGCATTGCATCCAGGGTCAGAAATTACATTTTTATTTAAGGGGCAACATTTCCCCAATGGAATTGATTTCCAGGGTCATTTTTTGGCTTTGTCTACACAGTTTTTATAATTGCTTTATTAAATGTGTTTTGTATTTATTTCAAATGCTTAAATTAAATCAATTGCTTCAATCAGTCACAATATTATAGACAGTGGTTTTCAAACTGTGGGGCTAGCACCCATTAAGGGGGGCAAACACCTGTTGATTCAGAAGCATACAGGTGTAAATAAAGATTTTGCTAGAGGGGACAATTTGACTAGTCTCCCAGCTAGTCGAGCGAAATCTTCATTGGCTACGGTTACTGCAGATTTGGTGCACTTTAGTTTGAGCAAAAACAAAAAGCAAAGAATACCACAGATGGTAAAATGGTTAAACTGACTGAAAAGCAGGCTCAGCCGTCACACTAAATTTAGTAAGCTGTTTATATTTTTAATGTTTCAGTATAACTAACACCCTGTCTACAACAAACGCGAGTGGTGCAACACGACATGACAAAAGACAATAAAACCCATTGTAATCAAGTGACACTGAATGCGGTGTGGCATCGTGTGAAATTAGATGAATGTAGGGAGTTTGTGTCCTAAAAGGTTGAAAACCCCTGTTATAGATAATACAATTTTATCAACATCAACAAAAGCCATATTTATACTGCAGAGGTGGAACAGAAACTGCATCTGACATGGCATTTATGTTTATTTACAGATTTTATAATGCTACTCAAAGGTGGCATACATGCATTTACACAATTGCATAATTTAAATAGCCCACAAAAGATATGCAAATTATTAAAAAAAACAGGAACTGTTACAGGGCACTGCAATTTTATGACAAAAATATTTTGGTCGGTTTGCATTCAAAAAATATTAGTGTTGGAGAAACGGCACACCATTCTGGCTACACAAAATAAGCAAGCTAAGAAGAGTTTATGACATAGTTTTTTGCTTTTTACACATTCAAAAATCAAGATATAGTGATATAGTGGATAGTGGACAGTAGGTAGAGCATTGCGTTAGCAGCGCAAAAGGTCGTGGGTTAGGCTCAGCCGTCACACTAAATTTAGTAAGCTGTTTATATTTTTAATGTTTCAGTATAACTAACACCCTGTCTACAACAAACGCGAGTGGTGCAACACGACATGACAAAAGACAATAAAACCCATTGTAATCAAGTGACACTGAATGCGGTGTGGCATCGTGTGAAATTAGATGAATGTAGAGAGTTTGTGTCCTAAAAGGTTGAAAACCCCTGTTATAGATAATACAATTTTATCAACATCAACAAAAGCCATATTTATACTGCAGAGGTGGAACAGAAACTGCATCTGACATGGCATTTATGTTTATTTACAGATTTTATAATGCTACTCAAAGGTGGCATACATGCATTTACACAATTGCATAATTTAAATAGCCCACAAAAGATATGCAAATTATTAAAAATACTGTAAAAGTATTATTACAGGGCACTGCAATTTTATGACAAAAATATTTTGGTCGGTTTGCATTCAAAAAATATTAGTGTTGGAGAAACGGCACACCATTCTGGCTACACAAAATAAGCAAGCTAAGAAGAGTTTATGACATAGTTTTTTGCTTTTTACACATTCAAAAATCAAGATATAGTGATATAGTGGATAGTGGACAGTAGGTAGAGCATTGCGTTAGCAGCGCAAAAGGTTGTGGGTTCGATTCCCAGGGAACACACATACTGGTAAAAAATGTATAGCCTGAATGCACTGTAAGTCGCTTTGGATAAAAGCGTCTGCTAAATGCATAAATTATTAATTATTATTATTAATTATTAAATTATTATTAGCATGAAAAACACAGCAGTTAATCAAACTGGGAATAAATTAAAGCAAGTGAAGACGTTCCCCATTTCTAATGCAGTCCATGACTAAAGTCTAGCGCGAGTTACACACTCTCGTAATAATCGCTGAAGCTGTCTACTCTTCAAAATAAATCTCTTAATTACATTTGTATCTGCACTTTGTAGTTTATGATGAGAAAATTCAACTTTTCAGCAGTGACCATTCTAAATGCCTCTGATTGGCATCGCATTCTTAAGCTCAACAGAGCTCAGTGCTGCAAAAAAAAAAAAAAATAATAATCAGATGCAACTTTAGCAGATTTAAATGTAATGCAGCCATCAACACTTTTTATTCATTTTTCATTTCACTTTAATCGCAACAGCGGTAGGCCAAATTGTTTTTTTTTTTATTCTTTATCTTGAATTTGGAAGCATTTATGTTCATTTTGGTGGCATTTTTGCCCCAACCCACGTTATTTTCTGACCCTGATTGCATCCCTCAGTAGTGAAATGTCACCTTGACCCTGTTCTCTCCCTTCTGCACTCTTTCAGAAATGCGTTGTTTTCTATCCTCAGCAGGTTCCAGGGGTTTTGTACACAGGCATCACATGACCATCAGCCATACCTGGTCCCCGCCCCTCCCGATGTGCTCATCCACTCACGTCGCTCCATCTCCTGCGCAGTCTAGACATGCCTTCGGAATATTCTACCTGCGCTCGCCCTAGACCCTCTGTCACAAGATCATACTCCACTCAGGTCTAGAGGCTCCCCGTACTCACCTCTACTGCCCCCTACTGGCTGACAGAGACAATGACAGCAATAGCCACTCATTTGAATCGGGATTATTTTGTAATGACAGCCTCATGCTTGTCTGAATCCTCATAGTATCTGTCTCTTATCTTTTGGGTGGGTGTTTTGTATTATTTTTGCTAAAGGAAAGTGTTCCAACTGATAATAATCTTCCATCTCTGTAAATTTGCAGTGTATTTGCATTATTAATGCCAGACATTGACATTCTGTGTACATTCTAAAAAGATTTTCTCATCTAACAGCCATACAGAAACTGTGAAATTTAAGATTTAAATTAACATCTACTGACATTTAAGAGTGAAAGGAAGAAAATCGATTCTATTTTTGGAAATATAGATTGGTAGGATGTAGCAAACTACTATTAAGCATATTTGAAAGATAATAAATAGATTGTTAGCACTATTTTTATGGCTAAGTATTGAAGTTAAGTATCCATGGAGCAAAATATTGCATTATTCAGAAATAGGGTTATAGAGAATCAATAGCTGTACAGAGACAGTTTTCAAGACTATAATATATTTAATAACATTTCAGCACCAGTTAGGTGGGATGTGAAGGAGACAAATATGTACAGGATTTAGCAAATGTTTTATATCTTACATTGTATAAAATGTGAATGTTTTCCCTTGGGATTTTCCTGCTAGAATTATTGACAGTTTAAGTCAATTTAGTGATATAATCCAGAACCAAAAATACAGAGACTAAGGAATCACCTCAGGTTTCATCCTAAGGTAAATGGGATACATCTTACCAACTGTCCGTGTCTCACATAAGATTATATAATATTTTGTAAATAACTCTTTTTTTTTTTTTTTTTTGGCATTTTACATACGTTTTTATTAAACAACTTCATTCTGTAGAATTTACTGAACATGTGTACAAGAGACTTGCGTGAAACACTCATTTGTGATTTTTTTTTGAAAAGATTGTGAAACTGAAAATATTCTGTAAAGCTTGTTGTCAGACATTTTGTCTATTGATGTGATTGGCTATTTTGTAAGCCAACATTTTTCTACATATTTCATCCACTGAAGGAAGTGAGATAAAGCCTCTGTATGTAACATGGTGCTTGAATGTGACTGTTCAGGTATAACCCTCCTTTCATTTTGTAAAAAATAAATAAATAAAATAATAAAATAATAATAAACTTTAAAGTTCAATATGAAGATAGATGATTCTTGCAGATCAGCTGATTGTTAATTAAACATTTAATTAAAAGGAAATGGTCTGAATTTTGTTTTATTATTATTGCAGATCGCCCTCTGGTGGTGCTTGATGAAACTTAAAGGGGTCATAGGATGCCCATTTTCCACAAGTTGATATGATTCTTTGGGGTCTTAATGAAAAGTCTGTAACATAGTTTGGTTAAAATTTCTCAATGGTAGTGTAAAAAACAAATTTTGTACCCTGTCAAAAACCAAGTAGATATAACTGCAGACCGGAGATCTCCAAAATGGGGCGTGAACTCCAAAAGTGGGCAGAACCTCCAAAATGGGGCGGGGTCTCCTCGCGCAAAGACTTTCACCATTGGCTGTGGCTTCAGCCCCATTTGGAGATCTCCAGGCTGCAGTTATACCCTTCTCTCAAAAACAGCTCTTTTCAGATCAAGCCATTTTTGCAGCATTTTCCTTTAAATGTTAATGAGCTCTGCTGGCCCCGCCCCTCTCTTCCGAGCTGCTCTCAGAGAGAATGTTTACTTTAGCCGCATTCAACACACATTTCAGTTCAAACAACTTGTAAAAGTGCATGTAGCATCGTATGACCCCTTTAAGGAGTCTAAATACACAGGCTAAATAGAAGTTCCTAAGGGCTCTGGTCCTGTCCTGTGATTGTGCATAAAGATTTTACAAATTCAAAACGTTATTAAGACAGTATATATACAGTGGGTACGGAAAGTATTCAGACCCCCTTCAATTTATCACTCTTTGTTATATTGCAGCCATTTGCTAAAATCATTTAAGTTAATTTTTTTTCCTCATTAATGTACACACAGCACCCCACATTGACAGAAAAACACAGAATCGTTGACATTTTTGCAGATTTATTAAAAAAGAAAAACTGAAATATCACATGGTCCTA